AGTGTCCATGAGGATTTCATCTCCGCCCGACAAAATTAAAAGAAAAACATGTAATTTGGGAAAAGTATGAATTATGTAGGAAATAAGGGTTTATTTTTTATTATTTATTTAAAAATGATTCGTTGGTAATGACTAATGAATGAATGATCGGTTATTAATAGTAGGCCTACACTATACACCTTTTATTCCATGACTATGAGCTTCTTTGTACTTCGTATAAAATAACAGAAAAACTATATTCGCGTATGATTGTAAAATGTAAGGGATTAGCTGCTGGTGCTTCGCTGTGCTGGCTGATTTTAGCTGTACGGCAACAACGGCGCCGGCCGTGTGTTGGGCTCTGGCTTGGGCCATTCTCGCAGACGAATGCTGTCGTTGCGTTGTTCCTCTCATCGCCACGAGGTTGCGCCATTGCACTGATGCCGCCTAGAGTGCTAGTACTAGAAATCCCGGATAGAGCGCACTGAAGTTTGCCCCATTTTAGCCGTCCTCACCTTATAACATGCCGGCGGGGAATCTACTAAGGGAGTATGTTTAATCTATGCTTTAACTGAGGTCAAATCGTCGTTAAAATTGGTTAAAAACTGTTTAAATATACAATTTTTAGCACGGTGTTTGTAACTAAACTAGCCCAAACTTAGATTTAAATCCATATAATACCTTCTCTGGAGTGCTCTGGGGCTCAGGTCCTTCTTGGAAGTACCTAATCCTATTCATAGTTTTTGGCCAGCTTGCTGTGTCAAACACCCCATATCACCCCTTCCTTACTTCCCTCTTACCCACAAAATCTTTTCAATTTACCTATAGGGAATCTTTTGGGGACAGCAGACTCAGAGCTACCCACGTTCCCTATTGTTTGTTGCGGAGGGTAAGTTTCTCATAATCACCCCAGGCCGAAAGTCCTACACTCAGAGACACGTCCAGCTACAAAGCTCGTTAAAATACAATCAAGTAGCAAGTAGCATACGGCTACAATACTTTACACTATTGTGTATACTCGAATACCTGAGTTAATAGGGAGAGGGGGGGGAATGAAAAATACGGTTAATCCAATATAGTATAAAATAAAAACAGATGACAAACTCATTAAAACGCTGTAAACAGCCATTAAGTCACGGTTTACATTTTTATAAACGAAATTCAATATTGCACAACCCAGACAGCACACTTTCTCCTCAGGACATCCCACGGATATTGCGACAGGATATGCAAGATATCCCATAGTGGTCCTATGGTCAACTTGGGATATCACAGGATATCCACAGGAATGCCTAATGTCCCCGCCCGGGGATGTCCTACGGATAAGCTCACACGCATTATTATCCATGGGACATCCGAGGTCATCCCAGGGTAGTCCTCAGGACATTCTCAGGACATATGGGACTACTATGGGATGTCCCTGGGATAAAGTGTGGTCTGGGCCTGAACATAAAAAACACAAAATAATATAGATTTAGTATGAAAAGCTTATTTATAAGTTTAGTAAATTGATTAAATAGTTAATAAACACAAATTTTGAAGAAAAAAACGAGAAAAAAGTTTTTGGCCCAGACGGGTTTCGAACCTGGTACCTTCGCCTTGTGAGCCTCTTACCTTACCTCCTGAGCTATCTGCGCTTGTTGATTATGGGTGTTTTCAAGTGGTTAAAGAGTAGCCGACAGTTGCAATGGTCGCAATACTTAAAATATTTTTGATACTACAGTATAGGCTAAATATGATTCTGTTAATCTGTTTAGGCCTCAAGTAGTTGAATTGTTTTTCTGGTAGTTGGAGAGGATACTGGTATTTGAATATAGATTATTTAATCACCATTAGATTAGCACTGTAATAATTGATTGTTATATGATTAAAATTAGTTTTTTGTTGTTTTATTAATTTAAAGTTAGAATTAAATTCACATTCCACACAACTATGATAGAACTCTAGTTTTCCTGAACTCAGTGGTAGTAATATGTCAGTAAAGTAAAGTCAACCCTTGCTAGCCATAGTATTAACAAGACATATTTTCAATCTGGGAAACCTTAAACTTTTAAAATAAATTATAAAACCTCAACATCTTAATGCGTGGGAATCTTATTTTTAGAAAAAAAAACAGACCAAAATTATTTGTTAAATAATGAAGACGGCCCAATTATAAATTCGGAATTACTGAAAATAATTACATCAAGAACAACACTGTAACATATCCTAAATTCAAAAGATTAATTTTTCTAATATTATTTTTTATTTTTCCAATATCCTTTAAATCATCTGTTTTAACTTTGTTTAAAATTAATTTATTAAGTAAATATTTACTTTTTGTACTAGTGTAAACACAGCCTGAAGATGGAAACCAAATTTCTGTAAGCACTAGTGAAAAAAACAAATTATTATATATTGGCATTGTTGAACGTTTAAATTTAGATATACTGTACATTTCATCAGTGGTAGTATTTTTTTTCTTCAGTTTGTTACCGGGACATTACGGGACATTACAGGATATCCAGTGGATTTTGTACATGTCCCGGGATGTCATGGGACATTCTGGGATATCCTATGGCATTCGTACATATCCCGGGACTTTACAGGATATCCTGAGGTTAACTTACAAATCCCGGGACATTACGGTATATTGTAGGATATCCTGTGGATTTCGTACTCGTCCCGGGATTTTGCGGGATATCCTGAGGATAGCGCACATATCCCGAGACATTCTCAGGACATATGGGACTACTATGGGATGTCCCTGGGATAAAGTGTGCTGTCTGGGAATCATTATTGTTGTAAATTTCAAATCATTTATTTTGGTTCAGTTGTACAAACGGCAACGTTTAAAATTGTAGCTAACTCAAACTCAACTAATCACTAACCAAACATTACATTGCTATAAATAACGTAAATATTAAAGGAACCTTTAGAAAGTGTTATAAGGTCACAGCTCATGATAGACAGATAGGCTACCGATAGGTGCTGTATCACAGGCACAGCCTAGGAATTTATAGATAAGTAATAAAAAAGTGTAAAATTATATTTAGAGATGATTAAAACACTCTTAAAAAGAATGTACCGAGAACAATCTTGTTATTCTCTTTCTTTGTTATTCTGTTCATAAGGTTTCTCTTCAATTCATACACAAATTCAACAAGTCGCCATATTTAGGCCTACTCATTGGCCAATCACAGCCTTACTAAAGTTACCATGGTTATCACTCAATCACAGTTTACTAAGCATTATATCGTCATCATTCCCCAGCTGTTGTATCTGAAATCTGTTTTAACATAGCGCACAGCAGACAGAAGTGTATAACAGAGCAGACGATTGTTGGCGCAAGCGTTGTTTCCCTTTCATTTTCATCAAAGGAGCAAGGAGCTGTGATGTTTCTAAAGGGAGGGAAAGGGAATCGTTATATCGAGAAAGACGCTGACAATTCGTTATGGATATTCTGGCAATAAAGAATTCCTTAAATTGAGGTGACTTATAAAACTCTAATTTTATTTATATAGAAAGATAAGTTTTCCAGTCCTGTACAACACTGATTCACGGTCTTTTCCCTGTAATCAAAAATCAAGTACAACTTGATACACACAGAATCTCCGGTTCCCGACCTGGATGATGGCTTGCTATTTAATTTACAGTTACATATTAGTACTCGTGATAAATCAAACCCGTTATGTAAGCCAAAGCCACACGGTTATTAATCTCACTTGGTTTTTGATTTGCTTACAAACGTGATCGGAAATGGTTAGGGCCTACACAGTATTCTTCAAGAACATTTATGTAAACACTAGCTGTACCCCCGCGGGCTTTGCCCCGTTTAACTTCATAAGTGAGCTCGTTCGCATGCCTCAATCACGTCCTGGTTGAAGTTCGTTCGCTACGCTCACTCACTTTTAGGTTGGAGCTCGTTCGCTGCGCTCACTTGCCTTCAGGTTAGCTCGTTCGCTACGCTAACTCGCCTCCAAGTTGAAGTTCGTTCGCTACGCTCACTCACCTTTTGGTTGCAAATTAGCTGTTGTCATAAATGTAAAAGAAATAATAGTGCTGCACCCTGTTGGTAATCCTTGTAACTTTAATGCTATTGAACATCATAGAACAGAACCAACATGTTTAATTGAAACAGCTGTTAAGATTCATTAATTCCATTTAAATATGAGAACTCATAAGGTTAACATGGGAAACTCCAGAGCCACTGGGGCGGAGCCCGAGAGTCCGATCAGAATAAAAACAGCTTAGTTTTCCTATTTAATGCCTAAAGAATCGGTGTACCAAATTTCAGCCTCCTAGGTAAATGGGAAGTGGGAGAATTAGTGATGAGTGAGTGAGTGAGTGAGTCAGTGAGGGCTTTGCCTTTTATATATATAGATAGATATCAGTGACAGCTAGGATTAGGAATCTTTATCAAAAACAGCTGATCGTAATTTCATATATGACGTGTTCTCTTAATAGATTATTAGTATTTCATAAATTAATGACGTATGTAGTAAACATGGAGAAAATAAACTAGAAAAATCAACATTGTATTTTTGATCGTCCGTTATTTTATTTCCAAAATAGTGAGGCCATATTGTAATGGCCATAAGGACTCTCTCGTCAATCCTGTGGATACAATTAAACCATTAGAATCATAATCGGTACTCTAGTTTTCTTTAGAGTAAGCCATGAGTAGGCTGCATAAAATGCCTTCTGGGCCGTGACAGACGGACATAAATGGAGATAAGACATGTTTCAACTTCTTCAATGTATAAAACATAAATAACCTAAAATATGTATAATTCTGAGCAATGTACAGACAAAACTATAACTTTATTGATATAGATTAACTGGGTTTGAATTTTAAATATAAAAAAATTTTAAAACTTCTTTTATAGTTTTACAAATAGTGCTGGGCGGGGAAAAATGTTTCTCATTTGTTGTGTACATCATTTATGGGGGGCTGTTGCTCAATTGGGGGGGGGCTGTTGCTCAATTGGGGGGGCTGTTGCTCAATGGGGGGGGGGGGGGGGGTGCGTCATGAGTCTAGGGGGGGATGGGCACCCCTGGTTTTCTTGAAGTTTGCTCTCAGCAAAATAGTTGTGTTGTTTTTTAAGGAACAAGAGAGGCCTAAAATAAGTTTTATTTTGGTTTTTCGGTAGACCACAGAGAAGTGAGGTACAGAGGAAACTTGCTTATGGGATGACCATTGAATGTTTCCTCCGTACGTTAAGCTTGGTTTTCCTAGACGCGGAAGCAGAGAGCAATGAGAGGAACGCGGAGAGTGAAAAAGAGATTTAACATGGTCTTCCGCTCCGCTTCTAGGAAAACAGCAACATTAAATTACCTAAGACAAGTGGAGTCCGCTCTCCGCGTTCCTCTCTCTGCTCTCCACTTCCGCTCCTAGGAAAACCCGGCTTTACTTCTCTGTGGATAGACCTACATTTTCAAATTCAAACTACAATGTATTTGCACAAAAAATAAAACTCCTTGACCACTACCAGAAAAATCATGTTCTTCACATTTCACACCACGGTCGCCACTCTTTGGTTGGAAAATTCGGAACACTCCCCCCTCTTCCACCTCCAATAAACATAGACACAAACATGGGCATAAAGTACTGAAAAAAGGACTTTTTTTGACAGAATTGGGATGGGTGGCAACCCTGTTTTTCACACATAAAGATCCATTTCAGTATCTACAGTGATTCACCTTATGCTTAAAGGTAAACCTAATTTCGATCAGCTGATTTTTGTAAGTTGGCCTCTGTGGTGTCTACTGCTTGGTAAGATAGGCCACCAGGGCTACCAGTAGTGCCATCAGAAGTGAGGAGGAGGCGAGACCTGACGCTCCGTTGCAGCCGTCGGAGTCGCAAGTCTCACAGAACGTCACGAGAGATCCAGTAGCCTTCATCTGGGTGCACATGTCAAACTTCTCGTTTTTTGGGATACTGCAGCTTCTGACAACCACCCTCTTGTCACCGTCTGTTGAAAAAAAAATTAAATTCAAATTTAATACTTTATGGATGTGTAATCGTTGATGGATATAGCTATGTTTTCATTCTCATATCAAAGTTGTTGCTATAGTTTTAGAATAAAAATTAGTGTAGTTGAATTAAGCCACCATCCTGCACTGATATAAATGAATGATTCCTGTAAAAAACACCAAGTTTTCAACCGATCCAAATTAAAAGGACAACTTATTGCACACTATAACATAGTACCTATGGGACCGAGCTTTGCTCAGGGAAAATCGTTAGTTTAGGCTACTCTGAAAGCAGTCTTATCAATTATCAATTATCAATCATTAAGATGGGGACGCCACTTAGTTTTGCAGGTACATTAATCCATTCCAACACTCCACAATGCTCGCCCTTACTACTTCCTTCACCACTCCCTACGTCGTGGACCTGTTTCCCTTCCTTCCCATAGCATTTTAGGATTGCAGATACATATAATGTAATTGCCACAGACAGTTCCCACACTCTGCACTGCTAGCCTTACTACTTCCTTCACCATTTCCTACGTCATGGACCTGTTTCCATCCCTTCTCATAGCATTTAAGTATTACAGACATATTAATATAACTAACACAAACAGTTCCCCCACCCTACGATGCCAGCCTTTACTACTTTACCATTTCCTACGCCTTAGAGCTGTTTCCTTCCCCTCACATAGCATTTAAGTATTACAGATACATTAATCTAACTGCCACAAACAGTTCCCAAACTCCACACTACTCGCATTTACTACTTCCTTGACCTCTTCCTACGTCGCGGACCTGTTTCCCTCCCTTCCTATAGCATTTTTGGATTGCAGATACCTTGATCTTATCCTCATTATCAGTTCCCACGCTCCAGAGACTGCTCGCCTTGACTACTTACTTCACCACTTCCTACGTCTCGGAACTGTTTTCCTCTCTTCCCATAGCATTTTAGGATTGTAGATACCTTAATCTAATATAATCTGTGTTGTCTTCGGTTAAAACTTTATGTGTACTTAATGAATCGTTGTACGAGAATTGACCTGTGACCTGATGATGTGACTGTTGTCACAAAACCGGTCGTCATAAGAAGAATCAGAGGATATTGATAAAGATAAAGGTAGGTAACAGTTAATTTAACTATCCAAATATTGACCAGCTATAGTTAATTTTTTTCTAAAAGAATATAGTTAAATGAGTAACTTAGAGTGAGCTACAATCTCTATTTCCTTCCTTTATTTGTGTTATTGTGATAGTTGATAGTTGATGTGACATAAAATCCTATACTCTAATATGAGCAATGTTTGCTTGTATGTATGTATGTAAATATGCTAGCTTGCAGAAAGATCTCGAAAACGGCTCCGACGATTTTCTTCAAATCTTGTAAAAAGTGTTATACTAACACTAACCAATTTGAAAAATGAAAAAAGAATTAAATGAAATAGGCAGGGCCGGATTTCCCAATAGGCCCAGTAGGCCCGGGCCTATGGGCGCAAGCTCCCAGAGGGTGCACGGCCGAGAGGAAAAATATTTTTTTCATATCTAAAAATATAATAAATAGCCATAGCTTAAAATATTTTTTGCAAGTTGATAAAAAAAACTCTTGTTAATAAAGCATTATAATTTTGAAACTCATTGGGAGAAATAATTGTTAGAATATTTAAACTATTTTTCAACATTACGCATCAATTTCGTTACAATATTTGTAACAAACATTGGTTATGGAGTAGGCTGTATAGGGATGTTGTCGAGCGCCCGAGCGGTACGCTTCGTATTGCCACTGTACTCTTTGCACTGCCACTATGCTGCCTCGGGGTCGGCACTACTGATCAGAGTGATTAGGGGGGCATTCGTGTTACCACCCTCACCTCACATAAAGAAAATTTATTAACTAATCTTTTGATCAGTTTACAACAACCTGCAGGGTCAAGTTAAAATATATAAAACGTTTTGTTGAATATTAAAAATACGATAAGTTTACCTTTAAAATTCAATAACGAAAAAATATTTATCTGAGTTTGCAACAGGCTTTAGAAAAATTTAATCCCCTCCAAAGCACCAATAATGGTGTCATTTTCTCCTCAGCTCAGACCTGAGGATAATTATGGTTGGCCGGACTATTGCTTTGTTTTGCTTTGCAAATATAATCTGGATGCAGTACTACCATAGATTAACTATAAACTCAAGTCGACTTCTTACCATATTGTTAATTCTAAATATTTTTTTTCATGTCTAGTTCATGTTGGTAACACTGGAAGTTAGTTTTGACGTAATCTTGTTTCTATTATTTTAGGGATAGTTCTATGTTGTGTGTTTAATTTCTTGTAATATAACCATGGTTATTAAATTTACTTATTGTTCTAGTATGGAATAGATTGTAAATAAATACTTGTTAAAAAAAATATATATAACCAGGGTACGACCTATTGTTTATGCTTAGATCGTTTTATTTTGGACAAACTAGGTTTTAAAAATAACCTCAATAAAAAGAATTGATTTCAGCTAATCCCTAAGGATGACAAATCTACTAAAGGAGTATGTTTAATCTACGATATCACATACTATTATGGAGTTCATGTTTTGGGGCCTGAAATCGGAAACAATGGACATGCTTTTTTGCAGGAATGCTCTGTGCGTTGGTTTTTTTTGTTTCGATCCCACAAGCATGAGCATTTGCTAAAAACATAAAATTGCCAAAAGTGTTTAAGACGGCATTTTGTTAAGGCTAGCCAAGACAATTCTTAAAAAAACTTGAAATGATAAAATTCTGACGATGAGTGGTGTTCAAGCAATTAACATAGGCCTATGCATGATATAGTTTTTAATAAAGGTTTGTAGAAAAGAAACTGTGACCAGAATAGGGGGCGGAAATACTATTGGGCCTAGGAAATGAGTTTAGGAAAGTTAGGGACACGGAAAGTTAGGGCCAAATAGGGTTTCGACCGGGGGGGAGGGAGAGATTAGCTGAACTAGGCTCTGAAACGACTCTTTTAGAACGAATCGTTCTCCTGTTTCAGTTCACAGAGAGCTACAGTAACGGGATTGACTTCAAAATCATAATTTGAATATTTCCAAACAGTAAACTAAAAATGTTAAAGTCAGTCAAGTACTGATTCTTCTTACCCATTTCTTTTTTACCCATTTTGGGTAAGTTAAATATATATTACAGAAAATATAAACGCATTCTATACAATAATACTACTGAATATAATGTTATGACACATTGTTAAGATATATTTGTTATAATTAGTTTAAAATTAAAATATTTTTGTGATTGTGTAGGCCTACGACAAACGTTATGAAATCAATTGTATTTTTATTTGCACATTGCGTGTATTTGGTTACTTTTATGTCGGATAGACATTTTATCTCTGAATTTCTGATCCGCTGTCATTTTGACATAGCCTATAATTTCAACAAAAATATAGTGATTTTTTCAAGGGGTTCAGGGTTCAAGGGGTTTTTTTTCAGCTGTTTCATTAGCCAGGATCATTTATTTAAAGCCCAATGATCAGGAACAGCTGGGTCCAGTTTCGAACCATCAAAAAGCTACTGACTTTTTTCAGGATCGAACCGGCGACCTTTTGATTAGTAGGCGAGCACTATAACCACTCAGCTACCCAGCCAGTTTTTTTTTTTTTTTTTTTTTTTTTTTTTTTTTTTTTTTTTTTTGATACTATACAGTATCTATACTGTACTGTATATTGATATAAACGAGAGGTCGTCCAGTGGTCGAAACTCGACCAAAATAATGTAATGTACTCACTTCTCTATTTTCACCCCACACTGTAAATAAAACATGTGATTGGAGTTTCTTCCATTTGTTTTGATTTCCTGTTTATATTTCGTTGTTATTTCGTCACCAGCATGGCAACGCATAAGATCCATGTTAATTTTTTCAAATCTTTAAACTAATTTTTTGTGCTTATCTTTGAGCCTATTTAAATTTCTAAAGGGATTCTGCACACCTACAGGAAAATAGCTTTCTAACGGTATGCGTAGATTTTCCCTACGATGCACACGAGCTGAGAAAAAAGGTTTTAAAGAAACATGCTTGCCTATTAATATATAGATAGATAGATATGCCAGCCGTTTTATTCGAAAACTATAAGAGATATCAAAAAAAGTTAAATGGTAAGTGCCTTGGATTTTTTATTTAAAAAATTGTAGTTAAGTAAAAAAAAAAATTATTTTAGCCGCCATTTTTGCAATATGGCCGCCATCTTTGATTTTTCTTATGGAACAACCTGTATTTTATGATGTATTCTGGTGGAAAATGTAATTTTAAGACGATTTTATTCTTGTAATTTTTTTCATAAACCTAACCGTTTCAAAGATAATAATAGTTAAAGTTTTGAAATTTCTGCATGAGAAAGAGTTTCTATAAAGGCCTAAGCAAGCATGCCAGCTGTTTTATTCTAAAACCATTCAAAATTTCACAACTTAAACCATTATTATCTTTGAAACGGTTAGGTTTATGAAAAAAATTACAAGAATAAAATCGTCTTAAAATTACATTTTCTACCAGAATACATCATGAAATACAGGGTGTTCCGTAAGAAAAATCAAAGTTGGCGGCCATATTGGAAAAATGGCGGCTAAAATAATTTTTTTGACTTGACTATAATTTTTTAAATAAAAAATCCAAGGCACTTACAATTTAACTTTTTTTTTATCTCTTATGGTTTTCGAATAAAACGGCTGGCACACTTATATCAATCACCTTATATCTCTCGGCAATAAATTACCCAACGTAGGCTGAGGTAATAAATTAATGTAATAAATTTATAACTTTTTAAATGTAAAGGTTTTAAATAAACTATAGGTTGTCCAGTGGTCGAAATCTCGACCAAAAATATGTAATTTACAGACTTTTCTATATTCACCCACGCGCACAATTTGTTTTTCAGGATTAATTTTGCCAACAGTGTCATTTAGAGGCTTCTGATTGACTATAACGAAGGTTTAGTAATTGAAAAATTATTTTTGTTCATAGAATAAAATTATAAATGCCTCAAATTCAATTTTATATCTTTTTATTATGAAATTAAACCGTCATAACCTAACCAAACCAACCAAGTTTGTAGGAAGAACACATTTCTACACAGATCGGCATTTGTTTTTAGACGAAATATTATATCGTCACATTATTGGTATTTGGTAAGTGACGTTTGCAGTAAAGAATTGAAGAAAACGTGTCCAATATCATACAAATCAGTGTTTTGGGTAATTTTGTATATAAATATTTCTTTTAGGCTGTAAATTGGAAATTGGCTGTAAATCACAATCTCGCAACTACACAAAAGTTAACTGACCCAAATGACCTGACACCCCAATAACTGGCCTGTTTGAAAGGAAAATCTAAGAAATTGTAAATGAAGCCGATTCGAAGAAACGTGCGAGGGGATTAACGGGACATCGCTGTATTCTGTTCACTCATATTTCCTTTACCTTTCCAAGTACTGAATGTTTATGGGTTTGCTTGGATTAAACAACAGGTGGAATACTTTGTACCAGATGCCAACGACTACATTTTACAACAGGTATTTCTTTAATCTTTCTCAGTAATAGCTAGTCACGGGTTGTTCCTGAATTATATTGTAGCCTATTATTGTTCTAATACAAACGAGAGAAATTTGTCCATGCCCATTTATGGTCGTATAACATAAATTGGAGGCTATAATATCCTCACGAAGTTGAAGCTACTGTTTTAGAAATATTCAAGCGCATTTTTGATTTAAAAAATGTACGCTTGAATAATCATTTACAATTCGGGTTTACTCCGTGATTAATAAAATAACCCTACAAATACACTTCAATGTACTAAATCTGTTGTCCCTAAGCTCTACAAATAGTAACCATCCAAACAAGGTGAAAAATGTAAGGGGAGGTAGAACTAGATATAAATACAACAACTAACAAGTAGTTACAACTAGACCTAGGTACAATAACAATAGAGAACGAGTCTATTTAAAGAGTCGTTCTCAGAGCTTAGTCAGCCTCCGTTTGCCTCCCCCTCGGCTCAAAACCCGATTTGTCCCCAAGTTTCCGTGTCCCTAAGTTTCCTCGTCCCCATCTTTCCGGACACCCTGGAAATAGGAGGTAATTTTTCCCAATTAACAATTAAAATTTCTCAATGAGAACTACAGCGGAGAAGATACAAAAGAACAAAGTCAACTCTGTCAGTACGCCAGTCCAAGTCTGTTGAGCCCACACACGGTCTGACGCGGTCGGTTGTGTCGGCCAAGTCCATCTGGAATTCTCAATCGACCGCGACTTGTCCGACTGTCTTCATATCCAGTCTGTTTTACCCACAAACGGTTCTTGATGAAGCTTTTAGAAATTATTAGTCATTGGTCTCCATGGCAACACCATGGCTTTTTGCTACAAAGCCACAGCTGATTGAATTAAGTAAATAAATTTCATAGAACCATTGACTTTGGATCAATAGTGAAAGATAGTTCAAGGTTCACTGTTTTGTTTTGTTTCTAAAAATTAATGGAGAACGGCAGCAGATAGAACCACTTTATTCTGCCCAGGGTCCTTACCAGATAGTCAAACATGAGTCAATAAATACAAAAGGGCCTCTTTCAAGAACAACATTATAACGATTATAAGATACCTACCCTGCTTGACAGCCTTGGCGCAGGCAAAGGCAGCGTTGGCGTCCGGCACTTGAAAGTTTGTGTCGATGCCCACCTTGCCAAAGAGGCCAGACACAGCGTCGGCAGCGCCCTTCAACAAGTTGCCAGCCTCCTTCAGCACATCTGGTGTACACTCTGTCAGGGGCAGACTGCTGTCTATCGGGTCACCGCACTTGGGGTCTGTGACGGAGGTACACGAGTGACATTTCAGTGCCGAGCCTGCAATCAAAGAATCAATGTAGGAGTCATTATAAACTCTCATCATATTCCTTATCCTGTTAATAAAAAGGAGATCAAGGAAATTGGTAAAATTTGATTATATTAATATTATTTTACCAACTCTTTAGCAAAAGAGATTATTTTTTGACTATGCCTATTTTTCCATGTTTTTCTTTTTTTATGACACTTAATCCACTAATTAATTGTGGTTGCCACACTCAGTTAGGTAAGTAAAAGGTATGAAAATACCTGATTTGAGGTGCAACACATAACTACCCATCCATTCAAAATGCATATTTCATTTTAGGTTGGCTACATTCGATCCTGAGAAAAGTCAGTAGCTTTTTGATGGTTTGATACTGAACCCAGCTGTTCCTGACACGAATAGGATCATAAACAAAAGAACATGTGATGTCTGTACTATAATAGCCCTAACTTGGACGAAAATGTGACATAATTTGTTTGTGTTGATATGATCCATACAGTTTTAGTTTCTGTTCTAAGAGGTTCTCGATCATTGGGCTTTAAATAAGTGATCCTAGCTAATAAAACAGATGATCAGTTAGTAACAATGTTACACAGATAATCTATTCTACAACCTTGATCTCTGTAGTAATAATAGCGATCGATGTTCTACACTCATCCTTCACTCATATTTGGGTTATAATAATATGCACATAGGTGAAATCCCCACCTCAATGATAGATACTTCATACTTCATACAAGATGCCAACTGGGTGCCCAAATATTAGATCCCCACCATTGTAAAGAGTACCTGGATCTATCTTTTGACCAGCTGATTCATAACAAAGATAAAACCCAAATTATTTTTGAAGATAAACTCATGACCTTTTTGTTCATATGTGCATGTCCAATATATGAGTCCAAGGAGGATATTTCTATGACGAAAAAATACTCTATTTCTAGGAGGATCTAGGGGAAAACAAAAAGGGATTAGAAATGCCAGGAAGGGATCTATTAGGGTCTGAATTTACAATGATGAAGTAGGTGATTTATTATCAAAATGAAGTATGATATGATTTTGAAAAGATACTGATAAAACTTATAGAAACCTTAAAACGATTAATGGATTAAAGCTCTTAGAAAACGAATAACCCATTAAGGGGGAAGAAAGGATTTTTAGAAGAGAATCGCGGGTGGGCATGTGGTCGATACTGGTACAGCCTACCGCCTACCTCTCCCTAACCCCCTCTCTCACCCTCTCTCTCCCCCCCCCCCATCAGAGCGTCACGACGCCGTCTGCCACAGTATGAATATCTGGTAATCGCCACCACTGACAATCGCTGCCAACTCAAATTTTGTGACAATCGCTACCAGTCTCTACCTGCGGCCGTGAGTCACCACCCTCACCACTACGTGACGGCATACTTTACTCTTCTCCCTTCACTAACCCCTCTATTGGGAATAACACACTTACTATTATTATTGCAGAATATAATGCCACAAGACAATTTTAATGTTGATCTATCCATTCCGTAGATGCATTGCAATGAGTTAATCTCAAGCTTTTGATCTTTCGGAGAACATATGCAGGCTAGTGTATAAGTTAGCAGAGCATTTCATCATAGCGCATTCAGGGGGAACGAACCTTGCGAATGTTTTAGGACCAATTATGCAGTAGGGCCACGGCATTTCCTAAACCAAATCTATCTATAGGCCTATATATAATATATGCTAAGCCGTTTTTTTGTTAATCGAACTCCTCTGTTATTATTCGCCCGATTTTCATGTTTGAGGTCTCAAAATAAAGGTTAAAATGTGTAGTTGTGCCCAAAGGTATTAGAATTTTGAGAAAGTCGTTGGTAATGGCGTCAGAGGCCCTTAAAATCAGTTTTTTCCATAAGGATAACATGGGAGAAATGGTAATGAAATGTGAATACTATCTATTTGCAACAGATTAGGAAAATAGCTTGTACCAGATGAAAACTGCTGGAATTTTTGTGAATGGACTTTGAACTGGACTCTTATTTATAGCTGCGGAAAAGCCTACTGAGGCTGTTGTAGCTTTGTATGAAATGTATTCAGTTTAGGCCTATAATGTTTTGTTGTATGAATAAATAATAATAAAATAATAACTAATAATCAACAACAAAGTCTTGGATAAATAAGTTAAGCAGGTGAGCCAAAGGTGTACAATTGATCGTTTGCTTTCAGATGACTTAAACACCCATCTAGAATTCCCAACAGAGTTTTAAAAGAATATAGAGGTCAGGCAAGGACACATATTGATTTTAAAAAAGGGGCAGTGGTTTTATTGATGAGGAATATCGATACATCAAAGCCTCATTAATGAAACAAGGCTCCAAGTGACCAAAATAGTTAAACATTAATAGAATGTTAAGTCCAAACTGGAACAAGTGAGTTGAGAGGGGAAATATTTTGATTCCTAGGACAAAAATGTGTCCATCGGAAACAAACTTACCATTTAAAACAGAAAGATGCTAATTTCTGTTAGCTTTGTCATTTGCAATGACAATCAAAAAGTACAAGAGCAATCATTTAAAAGAGCAGCACTGTTCTTACCCAGACCAGCCTTCAGTCATGGGAAACTATATATTTAAGTAGATCTACATATTTTTTGTTGGTGTACGCTTATTCATGACGGCAAATTCTGACCAGGGTAATCTTCCTGAAGGTCACGACTAAAAACGTAGTATTTATTCAAGGAAGTACTTTTGTGTATAAAATATATTTTTTTGTGTTTTCAGTATTTTTAAAAGGGGTTTATTCATGCAGAATTTTTATGTTCTTTAAATATGCTACATATTGGTTTCATGAAATGTTTCATTACATTTGTTTTAAACTAAAATAATTGATAACTCATTAATTTACTAAATATAAGAAATATACAGCTAGAAAATGGTTTGTCTGATTTCCTTCTAAAGCTTCATCATTGTATTTTATTTTCACTGGTTATTTTTTAATTCTTCAGGGCACATTCCATTATTAGGAGAAAGAACCTAGAGCAAGTTTTAGAACTAAATATGCCATACGGTATTTCCCAAACTAAATAATTTTGCGTACCTTCCTTCACAGTACATGTAAGGTGAATCATCATACGCACCTAGATCATCTTTAGAAGGTCCAAAGGTACAGCAACTACCAGAAGTAAATATTTCAATGCCAACGGCAGATAAAAGAAGTATTTAACAAAACCACATATACTGACTAAAAACAAATAGGGTAATTTTGAATCAATATAAAAAATACATTAAAATACATTGTGACGTTAACTATTGCAATCGACTGTCCTTTGAACTTATCGCTAACTCTCCTTTGGATCGGAACTAGCTAATTGTGGTACTAACTATGAAGTAGCCGTGATCATACTATGACGACACCGTCTCGCAACCCCCCCCCCCTCCACGCAACACCTACGAACCCTCTTTCCAAGAACGGACCGGACTGGTAGCGATTGTCACTGGTGGCGAATGTCACTGGTGGCGATTTACAGGACACCCACAGTATATCTTGTTAGTTAACTGTGGCAATCCAGTCTCCATCCCAGGATAACAACGCCAATTGCATTAAGTAAAGTTACGTCCTAAATGTGACATTTCTAAGTGGCAGCTGTTAGCAAAATTAAAAAAATTCATGAACCATTTTGTGAGCTGTTTTGAATTATAACCAGTATAGCCTGAGTGGTAAATATGTTGGGAAAAGGATGTTGATGTAAACAGTGTACGAATTTACATGCTAAACATGTTGGGAGATTAAGGTAAATGGAAGTAATGGCTGCATTCGAAAAATTAGTAAACATTGCATATAATGGTGTATTTATGTTGCCTGGACATTTATTTAGAAATGAACGGTGTTGTTATTTTTGAAATAAAGAAAGTTAAGCATTTTCCTTTATAAATCATTAATGAACACTTTGAAGCTCTAAAGTGTTAGATTGAGGTTATTAAATGAAAAAAAAAACTCTCCTAACTATAGCATATTCTATTCATATTCATTTGGAATAGGAACGCAATCAATGTGCGTAATTTTATCCAAATATGCGTGAAGGATGAGTGTAGAATGGAGTGTGATGATGTGCAGCTTTTTACTGATGATCAGCTGTTTCATTAGTCTGGATCATTTATTGAAATTCCAATGATCAAGGACAGCTGGGTCCGGGTTTCAAACGATTCTCATTTCATACGATCCACGACAGTCGTCAGATAAAATTCTATCCTAACACAGCTGATATGTCGGTTTCTAGATGATAATAATGGTCCATTGATGTTTGTAACATTACCGACGCCCACTTGACATTTTGTATGAGTCACAAAACAACAATACACCTATTATTGGACCCTCCGTGCATAACAATGACGATGGCGACACATCATTATGTAGGCAGAATGATTCCATAGTCAAGGCCTTTGACAAAATACTATTGATCAGCGTATGTGTGAAAATACTATTCATTGCAAACTAGAATTTTGAAGTTGAAATTTAGCATGTGGATAAATATTCTTTGGATTATCATTCGTGTTTCTGGCTCAACTGGAAGTCAAGCATAGTTGTAAAATGTGTGATTGTTCATATGTCAAGTGGCTTTAAAATAAATAAATCGAATAAATGACTTTTGGAATAGCTCAATTTTAGAATAATTGCAGCTGGGGTTCCATAGGTTAAAATCATAATTATTTTGTAGCAAGATGTCCAAACCGCTATATTGTACACAAAATAAGTTTATTTCAAATTATTTTGGAATTTTAATAATGACTTAAGTAGTTCAGATTTATTTACAAAAGGATTTACAACAAATATAATTTTAGAATGGGAATCCTTCGTATAGGCTAAGCAATCTTTAAGATATTTTACTTCACTTTACAGTTTATCGAAGAAAAAGAAGAAGAATCTTATTTAGACACTGAGAACATGTCGACTACCGGTACGTTTCAACGAAATATTTATATTCAATTTTTCAGCCAAATCTGTTTACCAATCATTAGTGACAAAGACTATTTGTTTCTTTAGTCAGGAACATT